TCCTTGAGGGCATGGATTGATGTGACTGTACAATGTATGTGTAAAGCGCTGTGTATATTGACAGCACTATATAAGTACTAGTTTAATCCTATTTATATCCGATCCTATAAGTCTTATCCTAAGTCCTATTTAATATGGCTACACTGAAGACAGAACCTATAGTTAAACCCGTTTTAAATCCAAAAACTAAAATGTATTATAATGCAGCTTACCATTTCTAGTGGCTTTATTTATCACTTACTTTAACAGAACAAGCCATTCAACAAAAGTGTCAGTTAAGAGGTTTAAGACAAACCATTTAAATAGTGACAGGGGTGCTTACAATGCTTGGCTTTTAAAACCTTCCTCCCAAAAGGAAAAACAAAACTGTTGCTGTAACTGTTTAACCACTTCCAGGGACACTTTTACCCCCTTCCTGACCAGGGCAATTTTCAGCTTTCAGCGCTATCACACTTTGAATGACAATTGCGCAGTCATGGAACACTGTACCCAAATGAATTTTTTACCATTTTTTTGAGACAGATAAAGCTTTATTTTGGTGGTATTCACCGCTGGGATTTTAATTTTTTTTTGCTATGTAAATGAAAAAGTCCAAAAAATTTTTTAAAAAGTGTTTTTTTAATAAAATTTTGCAAATAAATAATATTTCATCATAAATCTTTGCCAAAATTTATTCCGTTATCTTTTTAGTAAAAAAAAAAAATCCAAATTAGTTTATAACCAAAAATTATCATTTTTAAACATTTTTTTTTTACATTCTTATTTTATTTTTTTATATTATTTTTTATTTTTTATTTTTTTTTTTTTACATACTGTCACCCTAGCAGTACAGTGTCACCTACTGTACTGTCACCATGGTGACACTGTACTACTTGTGGGGGGGTGATGAAGATTTTTTTTTTTTTTTACACTCATTGCTTTTACACCCATATAGGATGTAAAAGCAATAATTTCTCCTTCTCTCTGGCTGCATTCTTGCACTCATTGAGAAGTACTGAGTGAGCTGTGAATGGTCACAGCTTGTCACATGGTACAAGGCTGTTGTGAATAGCCTTGTACCATGTGACCTCTGTGATCATTCACAGATTTCACACGTAGTAAGCAATGATGTCACAAGTGACATCTTGCTTACTACTTTGCATGTGATCACTGATTGGCCAATCAGTGATCACATGATCGGGACCTCGTACAGAGGTCCCGCCCAACGATCGGTGTTTCACTGTGTCCGCAGGACACAGCGGGCACCAGATTGCGGTGCTGTGCGCTCCGAGGGAGCGTGCACAAGCAGGGTGCGGGGAGGCCGTTTAGAAACGGCCACCCGACCCTGCAGTGCCACCGTCCGGCCGTTTATATGCAACAGCTGGTCGGGAAGTGGTTAACAAATATTCTTTGGAGTTCAGCTCTAGTTCTTCAGTCAAGTTCTTCTAAATCTGCTAGTGTATCTAACACTACCCTATCCCTAGAATAACAATGCTGTTGTTCAGAGGTGTCTCCATTACTCCTACATCCATAGTGGAGACACCCTAAGGGCCAGTTCACACTACATGCATTTTCAATGTGCTTTTTTTCTGCATCCAAAATGCACAGAAAGTAGATTATATAATTGTCAATGTTATAGTTCACATCAGTGCTTGCAGTTCTAGTCCGTTCTGGATGCAAAAAAAAAAAAGAAATTAGAACAGGCTGCATTTTTCCTGCAAAGAGCTGTACTGGAGCACGGGAAAACACATCAAAAATGCAGCAGAATGCAGCAAAACGTACCAAAAATGCACTGGAGCACCCATCTTTATTTAAATTGAAGAAAAAGAGAGGGGAAAAAATGAACTGGAATGCATGAAAAACGCACCGGAACACATCAAAAACATATCAGAAAAGCACTGGAAACCCACCAAAAAAACGCATAAAAAAAGTGCATGCAGAAATGCATCCGGAACACATCTGGACTGTGTTTCTATAGTGTGGACCAGCCCTAAGGCTAGGTTCACACCTATGCATATTGTGTTTGAGCCATTTCTGCTTTGCGTTTTTGCACTAATGTTTTTGCCACGCTTTTGATACGTTTTGTGTTTTTGTGTTTTTTTTTTTTTCAATTGTTTTCATTTTTCTTGTAGCTGGGCAGATTTAAAATGGAGCAAAAATGCAATACATGCTTTTCTGCAGTGTTTCCATTGAAGTACTGTATATAGAAACAAAAATGCAAGTTTTTCAAAAATGTCCCTGACCCTTTCCAAAAAACGCATCGGGTGAAAATGCACAGGTGTGAACATGTCCCATAGGAAATCCTGTTAAATGTACTGTACTGCATTTCTGCAAAATGCAAAACGCTGCAGAAAACACTTAGGTGTGAACCTAGGGCAGTGATGGCGAACCTTTTTGAGCCCTAGTGCCCAAAACTGCAACACAAAACCAACTTTTTTATTTCAATGTGCCAACACCTTATCACGTGATCAGCTGTATCCGTAGGACACACCGATCACCGGCAGCGCAGGGTGTTTGCCACTGGGTTCGCGTTCTGGGACGCCCTCCCAGAACTAGACAACCACGCTGTAGCCAGCTTTTGGCTATAGCATGGTTGGCAAGCAGTTAATCTCACCTCTGGCAGTGTCGGTGTGGCTTCCAACCCAGCAGCTCATTCCCATCCACACTGAACACGTTGCCCCTGGCCCCGGAGCAGTGTGGGAGCCTCTTCCTCTCTTCCACGCCCATTCCCGGCAACATCACCCCTGGCCCCGGAGCAGTGTAAGAGCCTCTTCCTCTCTTCCACCCCCATCCCCGGCTACATCACCATCACCATGTGCCAGATCCGCATAGGAACCGTTTCCTCTCGTCCACACCCACCCTGGCCCCAGAGACATGTGGGAGATGTAGTTTGATGGGGGTCCAGTGTAGACGAGATCTGGATGGTCGGTCAGTGTGCGTGGTCCGTGTGCGCTCATCTTCCTCTACTTCCTGGTGTGCCCACTGAGATGGCTCTGCGTGCCAGCTCTGGCACGCGTGCCATAGGTTCGTCATCACTGACCTAGGGTAAGACTGGAAGTGTGGATCACTAGGTGAATATAAAGTGACAAAAAAGCCTGAAAATGAAAATTAATGCAGCATCACATTTAAGGATTTGGTAAGCTATAATATATATCATTTTTGTTTTGGGGTTGAATACTGCTTGAATTCCAAGGCAGACTCAACAACACCTCTTGATACATGACTGAACTCTCTGACCTTCACATGCTGTCAATAAACTTGTCCCACACTACATCAGTATATGACACCATCCCTATAGAGAAGAGAAACCACATATATGATTGGTGTCAGTCATTTTTCCCTTACCACTATCCAGTTTGAACAGCCAGTGCAGGTACTCCTGTTTCAGATGAAAATGTCATATGGAAGGATTAAGTGTAATTATATACACTGCAGTTTGAAACTATCTGTTATTGTTCATCGAATATAATATGACTGAGAAGCAAGGGTTGCCTGAAGGTGATGATCAGAACATTGCAAAAGAGTTCTCATGTGATCTTAAAGGAAACCTGTACAGCTCTCCTCAATGCTAGTTGCCTGTCTCTGACTGCCTTTAGTACTTGGAGACACTGATCTGGGACAAGCACGCAAATCAGGAAAGTCCCAATTCACATACTTGTAAGCTGAGTCCACCTTAAATAAAAAAAATAAATGCACCTATTTTTGCAGGGAAAAAAAAGCGCATTTCTTTATTTTGCATGGGTACCTGCAAAGCATTACACCTGGGATCAGTGATTCATGGGTGCAATGCCAGGCTCCTGCAGACTCTTCCCCCAGCTCTCTGTCTGTACCTCAGTACAGGCTTTCAGTTGGATTGCTGGAGAAAAGTGTCAATAGACTGTGAGTGCTCCGTTGATAACGACAAGTCCATGGCAGATGGGACTTGTAGTTCATTCACAGATTTCTGAATGAATGAAATGGCTGTGCAGGCAGAGAAGATCCCCTGCATGCTGTCATAGAGGGGGTGTTTTGGGGGTAGGGTCCCTAGGGCATCATGCTACACGGGTGTAGCATCTAAAATGGTTTAAAATATAGTTACAGTGTTACTCTTTATGTCCTCTTCAGCCCAACAATTTTATCTCCATAAAATTCTGCAAGCATTCCCACCGTCACAAAGAATTTGTGATTGTTTCACTTGTTCTAACATGGTTTAGTACTCTAGTGCCTAACTTGCCCTTTGGTACTTAACAGGTCCCATCAGCCATTTTGCTGCCTAGGTACATTCTAGGGTCCGGTGAAGGAAAATATTTATAAAAACTGCTTCTGCAGGTTAAAGAAATATTTTATACATGGTTACATTGGTCCAGTTTCCATCAATGTAAATGTGTGTGTGTATACACACACACACACACACACACACACACACACACACACACACACACACACACACACACTGCCAGAAATATTGGGACACCTGCCTTCACACGCACATGAAATTGAATGGTATCCAGTCTTAGTCCATAGGGTTCAATATTGAGTTGGCCCGCCCTTTGCAGCTATAACAGCTTCAATTCTTCTGGGAAAGCTGTCCACAAGGTGTAGGAGTGTGTCTATGGGAATGTTTGACCATTCTTCCAGAAGCACATTTGTGAGGTCAGGCACTGATGTTGGACAAGAAGGCCTGGCTCACAGTCATCCCCAAACTGTTTCCACAAAGTTGGGAGCATGATATTGTCCAAAATGTCTTGGTATGCTGACTCCTTAAGATTTCCCTTCATGGGAACTAAGGGGCCAAGCCCAACCCCTGAAAAACAACCCCACACCATTATCCCCCTTCCACCAAACTTTACGCTTGGCACAATGCAGTTAGGCAAGTACTGTTCTCCTGGCAACCGCCAAACCCAGGCACATCCATCAGATTACCAGACAGAGAAGCGTAATTTATCACTCAAGAGAACACGTCTCCACTGCTGTAGAGTCCAGTGGCAGCGTGCTTTACACCACTGCATCTGCCGCTTTGCATTGCACTTGGTGATGCAAGGCTTGGATGCAGCTCATTGGTCATGGAAACGCATTCCATGAAGCTCTCTATGCACTGCTGTTGTGCTAATCTGAAGGCCACATGTAGTTTGGAGGTCTTTAGCTATTGACTCTGCAGACAGTTGGCAACTTCTGCAGACTGTGTGCTTCAGCATGCGCTGACCCCGCTCTGTCATTTTATGTGGCCTACTACTTCGTGGTTGAGTTTATGTTGCTTTAACTTTGTTATAACACCACTAACAGGTGACCATGGAATATTTAGTAGCAAGGAAATTTCATGGCTGGACTTATTGCACAGGTAGCAACCTATCACGTACCACACTTGAATTCACCGACCTGCTGGGAGTGACCCATTCTTTCACAAATGTTTGTAGAAGCAGTGCATGCCTAGATTCTTGATTTTATACATCTCTGGCCATAGAGGTGATTGGAACACCTGAGTCCAATGATTTGGAGGAGTGTGCCAATACTTTTGGCAATTTCATGTATATATACCATAACTGACCAATAGTAGTAGACTCTACTACTCCAGTAATCTCCACTTGCTTCTGGGTCCAAAGTGAGTGACTGGCTTTGATATGTTGTGAACACAGGAGATTGGCCGCTTGACAGGGGTGGCATTCAGAGAATGCTTTGCATCTTCTGAATGAATGCAAAGAATTATCTGATTGGGCAAGGTGGAGAAGTGGTGACATCACGACCTTCGCCTCTGCATTTATGTAAAGCATTCTCTGAATGGCGCCCGTGCCAAGCTGGAGCCTGGAGATTTCAAAGTGATTTGGGAGGGATGAAATCTCCAATCCTGGGGCCATGTTTTCTGAACCCCCAGCACACTAAAAGGTGTGTGCAGGGCTTTAACCACTTGCCCTCCTGAGGATTTATCCCCCTTCCTGACCATTCCATTTTTTGCATTACGGTGCTGCATTACTTTAACTGACAATTGTGCGGTCGTGCAATGCTGCACCCAAATGAAATTTATGTCCTTTTTTCCCACGAAGAGAGATTTCTTTTAGTGGTATTTGAGCACCCGTGCATTTTTAATTTTTTGCACTATAAAAAAAAAAAGACTGACAAAAAAACAATATTTTGGACTTTTTGCTATTAAACAAGTCCAGTAAAAAAATGTAAAAAATCAAATGTCTTCATAAATTTAGGCCAAAATGTATCCTGCTACACGTCTTTGCTAAAACAAATCCCAATACGTGCAAATTAATTGATTTATCTGAAAGTTGTAGCATTTACAAATGGCGGTATAGATACTGGGATTTTTTTTCTACTAGTAATGGCAGCAATCAGCAACTTTTAGCGGGACTGCGGAAAACATTCTGATACTGGGGGGGGAACTAACATGGTGTCACTGACATACCCAGTGACACGAATACAGTGAACAGTGCTAAAAAAAAAAAAAAAACAGCACTGACACTGTTCTAATGGCACTGGGCAGGAAGGGGTTAACATGAGAAGTGATCAAAAGGGTTAACTATATGTGGGGAGTTTTTTTACTAGGGGGCGGGGGGGGGGGGGTTGTGCTTCACTGTAAGCTGACTGGGAAGAAGACTGTTTGTAAACAAAACAGTCTTCCTCCCCGTCAGAGATGTTCGGTAATCAACAGTCGCTGGCCGGTAATTACTGGCCGGGGCCTGGTTATTGACGACCGCGAATAGTGGTGCGCAGCTCACTTGCCCCCTACCTAGAAATGCAAAATCACAAATATATACGTGATTTTGTGCACCTGTGACGCCCTGGAGCAGTATTTCTGCTATAGGGCAGTCGGGGAAGCGCTTAAGTAATAACCTAACTAGGTTTCTGGGCTCCACCCCAGCAGATAGAGGAGGTCTGTGCCTAGGATCACAGATTGGAGCTGCAAGTGGCTGCCAGAAATGTGGACCAAGCTGTTGAGAGAGGTCCTGAATGGTATACGGTCACGGACTGTAGGTGACAGACCAGGGCTTGAAGAGTAAAGCCTGAGCTATGGTGATGTACAGTATGTGTAAGCCAGGAGACTGCACATATATTTTCTCTGAAGGATCATTTGTTTGGATGGAAGACGAATGCCGAAAACCCCTGTAAGGGAACCTATGATGTTGATTTTTTATTTCTTCTATGGAACTTTTCTTTTAAATAAAATTGGGCTAGAAAAGCCCTTAAAAGGAAGACAGCGAGTGGAGGTGTCCTTTTAAAGCGCTACCATTTGATGTTTGATCTCACAATACTTACATTGGTCCAAGGTGGACCAATTTAACTATGTTAAAATATCAATCACTGGAATTCCTCTTTAAATTAAGTTTATATATCTTTTACACTTTAGAACTTTTTTTCCATAATGTCCATTTCCTTTTCTCTTTATATGCTGCATAGTTTTTCTTGTTTATTTATGCATTTCACTGCGAGGATTATCACATATCTCCTGCAGCACGTCTTCAGTCTCGGACCATGTTCTGTAACATGCTCACAGTTTCTCACCATCTGCTGTAGCATGTCCACATCCTCTAACAGATTTATTTACCATTATTTGAGCTGAATGTTATGTGGAACCCTTTGGTGGTGTCAGGAGCTACACCACTGGTTTAGAATATTGTGACAATTTATAAATAAACATATACAGTGGGGAAAATAATTATTTTATCCCCTGCAGATTTTGTACGGTTGACCACTTACAAAGAAATGATGGGTCTATAATTTTTATCATAGGTGTATTTTAAAAGATTGAGATAGAATATCAACCAAAAATACAGAAATACACATGATACAAATGTTATAAATTGAGTTGCAGTTCAGTGAGTAAAATAAGTATTTGATCCCCTACCAACCAACAATAATTCTGGCTCCCACAGACTGGCTATGTAACCACGTGGTATACAGATTAGTACTGTCAATTTAAGAAGGGGCTCCTAATGACAGTTCATTATGTGTATAAAAGACACCTGTCCACAGAATATTTATTCCATTCAAATCTCATCATAATGGGCAAGGCCAAAGAGCTGTGAAAGGACGTCAGGGACACGATTGTAGATCTGCACAAGGCTGGAATGGGCTACAAGACCAGCAGGAATCTTGGTGAGAGAAGAAGACAACTGTTGGAGTGATTATTCGCAAATGGAAGAAATACAAAATAACCATCAGTCGCCCTTGGTCTGGAGCTCCATGCTAGATTTCACCTCATGGGAAAGATGTGTGGCCAATAACTGAACAGCAGAAAGCCATTGTTGAATATAGACTCAATCCTATGTACCGAATGAAAAATCTGGTACTGCTAATAATCCTATTAGAGGCAGATTAGATTTAGTCTATAAAAGGATGTACTATCAGTACACAGTTGGAGAATAAATGTAATTTGGGTTAAAACTAGCCCTCCTAATCTTGTGCCCCAAATTTGGTCACCCTCTACACTCTCTGTGGTTACACTTTTGTCTGTAATACTGACAGTAAGTCTCATTTCTCCAAAGGGCTTGGAGTTGAATTTGTTACAGAGGCATCATCCTTTCTAAAGCTCTAATTATTAAAATCTGCATGAACCTGTCTTTACAGTACAATAAATTAGCTCAAATGCAAGTTTTGAAAAGAATCCGTACTCTGTACAACTTGGTTTTACATATGTCAAGCTGAGATTTCTAATCTGTAATTTAGACTCTTTTCTTTTATCAAGCATACACACACTATTTCATGAGGCCCCAAGAAATGCATTATGAATGTGTCACCTTCCCTCCATTTCTTATTGACTCCCCACACTGCCACTCTCCATAGGGAATCTTAACAAACTGAGCTGAGTTAGAGTGACTCAAAGCCATTCTTATTCCATAGCGAATGTATCCCTCGTTATGATTTTCTTTGTTACATCCCGCCTACGTCCCTCAAGAAAGTCGTGGAAATACGTTATGCAAAATGGATCCATGACACAGCTTGAAAATATGCAGGTTTAGTTAGTGTCTGCGCAACTACAAATGGGTCTTTTTACCCACAAATAATGGGCGCTATTTGCTTTGTTTCCACATGATTATTGCACATCACCATTTTTCCATCTCTTTAAGCCCTGTGCTTCATGTTCAGATGCTTTGTCATTATGAAGATAATTACAGAGTCATTACCAAGGCTCAGGAGTATAAGACTTAATTTGATGCCTTTGATGCCTTTGTCTTTATTTTAGGTTGAAATATACATATAGGTTTGATTTTGCAGCGAAATGTTAACGAGGATATCTCATGAGATGAGTCAATCTGAAGACTTTTTCTTTTTTTTTTTGTGTTTTTGCATTTTAGCATTGCAAACAAAAAAAAAACAATTATCTAAAATAAGTTCAACAGTGCTACCTTACCCTAGCATCACCTTGATTTTAAATCTGATTCATATTTTTTTTCTCTTTTTTTTTAATGTTAAGTACTTTAAGAGCTCTGTCAATTTACTCGTAGATTTACATATACTGTATATTGTACAGTCCCATCAGTCACTGCCCTCAAGGAGCTTACAGTCTAAGGTCCCTAATTCACATTAATACATACAAATACTAGGGCAAATTTAGACAGGAGCCAGTTAACCTACCGCCATGTCATTGGAGAGCGGAAGAGAACCGGAGTACCCGCAGAAAACCCACAGAGGCACAGAGCGAAGACATGCAAACTCTGTGCAGGTAGAGCTGTGGTATTTGAACCAACAACACTAGTATTTCTAAGCAGAAGTGCTAACCACTTTTCATTTTCTTGTCTCTCTGTAATGTCTTAGGTTTGTAGTTTAGAATAGCCCACTAATTTAAATAGTGAATATTATATATAACTTTTCAGTGATTTTAACAGGTTTGGATTGTCTAGGACTAGGAGAATGACTGCTGTTAGAAATGTTTAGCCTATTGTGCTCTCAACAATTTACATATTGCTTTTATTTATATAGAGCAAAAAAATGTATAGTGTTTACATCTGTCCCTACTTAAAAAAACACATATTTTCTGTACCACACAGCATACTGTATATCCCAGGGGCAGACTGACAACTCATGGGGCCCCCGGGCAATAGGGGATCATGGGGCCCCTGTGTCCTTGCCCAAACTCAAAAAGCCTATGAAAAAGGTACCAGGGGCATCTCATGGGGCCCCCTACTGACCCCAGGCCCTCGGGCAGTGCCCGAGTTTCCAAATGGTCAGTCCGCCCCTCGTATATCCACAATCACATATGTACCTGATTCACTGGAAATCAGCTAACCTAGCATTGTATTATTAGAATGTGAAAGAGAACAGGGTCATCCAGTGGAATACCATACAAATACAGGGAAAATATACAGACTTATGTTTAGATAATATCCCTGTTGGGAATTGATCCTCAGACTCATGGCTGTATGGGCACCAGGCTAATAATTTAGTCACTCGACTGCTTCTCAGACCAAACTGAGGATGTGGGCA